GCCTGGCAGGAATCTATCAGTAACTTGGACAGGACCAGAATTTACCACGACCACCCCCTCCCCCCGTCTCAATTAATGGTAAGGAAAACACTGTCAAGGAACTGTCAAAGCTTAGCACGCTGATACGTACTTACCGGCAAATAAGGACGAATTCAGTTGTGTCAGTTCTTGGAGAAACTGACAACCGTTCACAAACTTTAAAAAAGAAAAAATAAAAAATCTCTCAGTTTACTTCTAGAGGTTCACGGTGCCCCACCTGACTCGCTACAAACAGAAAATTCATAAATGATGGCATGTTTTAGCTACCTGAGAAATGGCCTGCGTTATTGATCTTAGCAATCAGTAAATTCTCAGGCAACTGAGGGTGTCACAGTTCCTTGTCCTCCCAAAAGTGCTCCTCCCCTAGAAACATCACCCACCACGCACCCCCTTCTGAATTCTTCACTTGGTACATGGCAGGAGCACTTAAAAACACCGCAGTGCGATCTGTGAAAGCGTAGCAGTGCATTTTCAATGCCTAAAAGGCTCTGTGAATGAAAACAAGTGATGCACAAAAGGCAGGCAACTCTAAATTACGGTTCCCTCTACAGACATAATGCACTGCCATGGCTCTTCTGCAGTGAAGTGGCTGATGTTATCGTTCATGCTGTTACTGTTTTGCCCTATTATGAGAAATCTGGATGATACGTGGTTACTGAGGGAACTGCATCTTCGCGTTTCCTGACTTGTATTTCGACACTTAGCCTACCGCCTTTGTATTTCTTTTAAGTGGCATAGAAATACAAATACCCGAAAGCAAACTCCGGAGGGCTCAGATTGATTGTCATCTGATGTAACACTATGCGCCAGAGTCTCACAGATAGCTGTAAATATTCAAATCAATAACACAGGCCCCTTTACGTGGAATAAAAGCCAACACGTTCATTTCAGCAGTGACCCAAGCTCCTTCCCTCAGTCACCATCTCACAGAGCGGCTCAGGGCTGGACAAAAGGAAAAAGCTCCTGGTTCTGATCTGGGGTTTCCCCAGTGTAGCTGCTACATAGCTTCACTGACTTAAATGGATTCACTCTGTTTGTACCCTCATCTGGTTGTAAAACTGAAATAAAAATTGGAGCTTTAAAGTATAAATGCAGCTGTGTGTTTTTCACCACACACTAGAGCTTTCCATCTTTACACATTTCCAAACATTTACTGGATCATAATTTTAAATTGTAAAAAAAATAATTTCAGCATGTTTACTCAGAACGCAGGACAAAAGAGCACATTCAGTCTACTATCAGCAGAGTGTTAGGGCTCATCCCACGTAGTAAAGAGTTTGAGAGAGAGTGGGATATTCTGGACAGGGTTTTCAAAAGAATTAGTGACCTGGCATCAGTGGAAACAGCGCTATGGCAATACCAAAAGCTGAAAATTTCCCTGCTACTGGTGTCTCCTTAAACCAGGTTCCCTCTAAGGGAAGTGTGGGAGTTTTTTCAGTATTATCAGAGGGCTGGATTTTTTAAATTCTGTAAGTCGGTATCTGTGCCAACTGTTAAAGCATTTGCACAACATTTTCCAATAAAGCAGCTAATGCACAGCTGTTCATGAGAAGAAAACGGAGCATTTAATTTAGTTTGCTCTGCTCAAATACCTGTAGGATGGTGGGAAAGCATCTTTGGGCACCCCTGGCTTTTGCATTCTCCTGGTTGCGTGGCAGTGGTGTCAGGTCACTGGGAGACGACAAGTGCTGACACCTGCTACAGAAAGGATAAGACGGGAAGGGGGGCACGGTTGGATCTGATGGCTAGGCTGTACGAACACAGAGTCAATAGCCACGCTGGGAACGGTTTCTAAGAATGACAGTGTCTACACTTATAAGTGGGTGGCTTGAGTTTTCAGAGTGGATGAGGCCATGCAGCTCCTGTAGATTTCTCAGAGACATTTGTACCTCCCAAGTCCCACATCCACCGCAAACGTTACCTTGGCAGGCAACTCTGCTTAATTTCATCTATTGCCAGTTAACAGAAAAATTTCAGCTACTGGTTCAGATATCGAGGGGGAAAAAATAAGACATGAACACTAAAACACTTCAGGAAAGACCCTTCCCCCTCCCTCCCCAAGCTCCAGTTAAACACCTCTCCTACCCACTTCCTAGCCTCAATATCCCTTGCCTTCAAAAGGTGCCATGCTCCGTCCCTCCCAATTCCTTCTGGAAGGCACTGGGCAAGGTGGAAAGCTGGGATCAGTGTGTAATGGTTTCTTTCTGCTCTTCCTTGCTTCTTACTCATTTTCCTCCACTGCACCTTGCCTCTTACTGTTCCTCTGCTTCACTGCGGGTTCTCCGTGGGCCGCAGCCCCTCCAGGGATGCCCCTGCTCTGGCATGGAGTGCCTCCTTCCAAGCTCGCCTCTCTCCCTTCCACATGTCTCCTCCACTTAATCTCCTCACAGATCTCCTCACGCCTCCTCCCGTGTCTCCTGCCCTAGAAGCTGCTGCTCATTCTTAAATGTGTCTGCGCAGAGGTGCCATGTCCTGCTCTCCAAGCTGGCTGAAAGCAGCTGTGACTAGCACAGAGGAATTCACAGCCTCCTCCGTTGCAGCCCCCTGCTGCTAAAAGCCTGCCAGTTATGCCTCATACACAGGTCCCATGACATGCACCTTCAGATTAGACCTGATCCTTTCCTCCATCCCAAAGGCTGGTTGTTTCCTTCAACCTATTCACTCGCTACGATGTCCTTTGGCAAGTATGAAAAGCAGCCCACACTTGGGTCCAAGGCTGGGTGCAAGAGCTACAGAGCTGCACAAGGACACAGAGAACATGTAAGTTGCTGTTCATGGAAAAGACATTATGTAGTGGAATGAAGGGGTGGAACTGAAAATAGGAAAACACAGTGTTCTTGCTGAGGAGGAAGTTGTTTCTTCGTACTTGTAACTTCTACAAGGCAAGACACACCGTTGTTGAGCCTGCAAGATTGAGGGCTCCTAATGTTAGGACACTAGAGAAGACTGTGGGCTTAGTCAAGCAGCTCAAGAAATGCCTTGGTACAAACTGAAGAGCTCTAACACAGATTTCAGCAATAAAACAAGCCACAGTTTAATACATCTTTTGTAGTCAGCTGCTGAGGTATTTCCATCTGGGGAAATCCAAGCTAAAGAGGTAAATTAGGACTAAATTCAGAAAGCAGGAAAGATAGCAGATTAGTAGTACTTCTATTCAGAAAATTAATTTTCAAAGAGCTTTTCTCATGTCTTTTCTATTACTGGACAGTTTTATAGCACAACCATAGCTTCAGGATTCCCCACTACTGTATCTTGGGGTGCACACTGTAGGTAAATCTGCATTTCAAGCGCCTGCTCTGTCTCATTTTACTCTCTCCCTTGATTTGCAACATCTGAGTCAGAGAATGGTGACAGCTTTCATAAGGCCTTCCTGGAAGGAGCTTCCTAGCTTTTAGTATGAAATAATTGCTTTGTTATTATTTTATAGCAGCATAAGTTCTCACTATGCATCCTAGCTTCAATTTATATTTCCTAACATGAGAGTTAGTCACTGCAGCCTGGTTTAGAGCCCAGTGAGTACAAGTGACTGCATCATGCTGTTTGCTGCCAACTGCCACACTTGCTTTCATTCCCATCCTTCTATTTACAGAAAAAAAGAGGTAACAGGTAGTTGCTGTTCAGTTGTTCCACCCAGAGAGGAACATCAGCACCGGCTGAGACTTCAGCCCCTGCGTGCCTCACCGTGCCCAGCAGTGGGGAGGCTTTCAAGTGCTTACCTATGCCACCTGAAGCAGTGAACCTGGGAAGTTACCGCCTTCCGGACAGAAAGCATCACAGGCCCATGCCAAAAGAGCTTGCTCTCCTTCTCTCCATCTTTCAATCTAAGCACAGGCTTCAACCTGGCTGCAATCATGAATAAGATGCTTCTAAGTCCTTTTCAAATAAAATAGAAATATACTGAAGCTCAGATATGAGCAAGCCACGATTTCAGCAGTTATGGGTAGCGTTTCTTAATGTAACGTATCTCCTGTTTAAGAAGGGTGATTTAAAAGCCACTCTTGTGAGGATTAGTTGCCAAATGACTGCTGTTATTTTAAGAAGAGACCCCACAAGCACGGCCTTGTAATTTCTCACAAACACTTAGCAATAAGCATAACCAAAATTACATCTGCAGTTATCTGTACACAACAAGGTGCTGTGAAGCACACTGTTGACAAAATTACCACATTTTGGATGTAAAATATACATGCAGCCAAATACTTCGGTGGTAAAAATTCTTTGACTTTGCCAGACATCACGGATCTAACCTATAGTTTGAAGAGCAAAGAAAATATTTAGAGTCGCCAACTAAAATACTAGAAGCTTACGTAAGGTAGCAATTTTAATTTTATATTAGGTTTCTTCCTTTCTCAGATTCCCCATAGGTATACTTTATAATGGCATGCAGCATGAATGTATTTTTGTGTTAAAGTTTCAACCTTCCTCTGTGCAATTGTCTGTCTTTTAAAAATTAGCCCAAACCAGGACTCCTGCAGAAATATTTCAGTGTGCATTACATGTGCATTGCCAGACAAATTTTATAGGGGTAGACTGGCCTGCACGAGTCGGGGCTTCTGTGTGAGCAATGTAATCTGATGGATAGCTATGCAGAATGTAAAAGTTCAATGTAAACAACACCCATGCTTTAAAAATTCTGCACTTCATCTCCTGTGATAAGTAACATCCCTAGTGCATGGAACAAGGAAGCAAAAATTCATCGCAAAACAGAAGTGAAGCCTAGAAGACGTAGAGCACGATCAAAAGCAAAGAAAGGCAAGTAAAAGGATGCAATGTGTTTTTATCTAACCTCAGTTTAGGTACCGATGGACAAATCTTCACTGGTGTAAAGTGGACCAACCAGGATGTAAACATCATCAACTTAGCCCTTGAGATGTAAGTCAAAACGGTTGATTCCCAAAAATTCCTTGAGGCCATCCAAATGCCACTTCACATCAGTTGCCGTACTCCAGTTTCTAGGAGTAACTGAACAGTTATCTAGGACAGATCAAAATTTGGCTGATTTAAGATCTTTACTCAATCAGTCCTCATGAAACTCAATGCAACTTTTGCCTGAATCAGGACTCCTACACTGGGCTCGTTACTACAAAAGCTTCAGCCTTTTACTTAGAGAGCACGTATTTGAGAAGCTCCATGAAGTCAGTGGAGATGTGCTCTTGGGAATTTGACTGCATAGGCTGGCACTCCCCCCTCTAAATTTTAACCATAGGGAAAGTCAGTCCCTGACTAACAAATCTTTCACCCACGGTTCTAGAGCTGTAGACAACAGCATTCCGTGCAAATCTTAGTGGCAAGGGGATCAGTTTTAGGAAGTGATGTTTTTCCTTCACTGGATAATGAAACTCAAGAAGGGAAGGAAACGGACTGCCAAGTGTTCCAAACCAGCCTGTGAACCAGAAGGAAAGAGAAGGACTGCTCCATAACTGTACGGGCTGCTTCAGCGCCAGCATGACCAGAGGCCACGGAGGAAGGGATGCTCTCCCTCACCTCCAATCTTAACTCAGAGCAAGCCATCCTCAAGCCCTGGCAGGTTTTAGTTGCCTAGTCTCGCTGCAGTACACACCCAGTAGATCCCCTAGCCTCCACCCAAGCAAAGGTGTGCTTTCGGGCTCTCCAGCCTTACAGCAGCTTCCTCCAGCTCACTCTGTACCCATCAAACCTCCAGCGTGGAGCTGGAAGAGTGCCTCAGTCCTTCTCCTGACAGTGTCTCCGTGTCTATGAGAAGGGTGGCTACAGGTCTCTTGCCTGCCATGAACTACAGTGACCTTAAAGGAGGAGTCACACTTTTTTGTTGTCAGAACCATTTCCTCCTCTTTTCCCCTCCCTCGCCTCTACTGACCTCATGAGTACTCCACATTACAGAGCTTTTGCATGTCCGTGCCATCTGACAAGGACTTGCTTTCCAGGACACAAGAAACACCTCTTTTACACCTCCTTTTCCAGGAGTGACTTTTTCCAGAGATAGGACTGAGACCAGGTTTTGCTTTTGTTCAGATGGAGAAGCACCTTCTGCAATTGCGCTTTAAAGGTGTCTCTTCAAATCTTGAGTTTTCCTGGACATCAAGACAGACTCATACTGCAGAATAAAGGATCTCTGTCTGAACCCAAATCTTCCCAGAGCTGCTCAGGATCGCCAGCCGACTTCCACACTCACAGATGCTGCAGTCTGCTCTGCTGAGCCCAATTTGTTTCCCTCTCACTAGGTTGTTCAGTTTCGGGTTTGCTTTGCACTGCACTTTTACATAAAAAACAGGCGGCTTTTGAGTTCTGCCAGCTGTTACATTTTGCCCCGTTGAAACAGCTTCATTTTCTGCATGTTTCCAGCTCTTTTATCAAGGCAGCAGGTTTGACCTCTACATTCTTTAGCAACTTGCAGGCATCCGGGGCTGGATCTCGGGTGTAGCCAGCTTGCTCTGCAGACACAATCCTCTTCTTGGCTCCGAGATGGGCCAGTTCCTGCTTCTGCTCATTTTGCCTTAATCTGAAGAACAGGTATCTCCCTGTGCCTGTTAATTATCTCCCCAGCATCTGCAGCGAGAGGACACAGTCGAGTTTAACCTCCACTGGTGCCACTCCATCCCTCCCGTCCATTGCTGTGCGATCTCATCGGGTTGTTGGAGAGACCATTTGCAAATGCTGTCTCTAACTTGCATCCTGTGTTGATGCCAGAGGCTATGCAGCCACTGCTCAGGATATCCAGTCTTCCTGGGGATTCAATGGACTCACAAGCTATTGTACATTTCCACAGAGGCTCCGTTACCTAAGCTACGTCCTTTCTTATCGTTCTTCGCCAGTTTTCCTCTTTATCCCCACGTGGCATGCCCAAGTGTGAAATGCTGTCTCTTTATTGACCAGCACCAAAACTCACTGACTTCAGTATCCATGATCCTTCTTCTCCTTTGGAAGAGGTTCTTTCTGTTCCTCTCCAGCTTAGAGGACCTCCTTCTCACTTTGATGCTTCTGCTTCAGCATATCCTCACCTGCCCCTACAGCAAGAATAATGTAACATTTTGGAGGGACTCTGCTTTTGGAGAAGGACGAGCAAACCAACCTCCATTTCTCTGTCCTTGAGTCTTTACACAGTGATTCTGCTGCACTTGCTCCTGGTCACACTGGCCAGACATTCCACAAAAACTAATAATTCCATGGCTTCTTGTATCTCCCGTTAGCTCTTTCCTCCATTTCTTAGGCCTCAAGAGTATCGCACATAACTGCACAGGAATGAGCTAGCTTTATTGACTCCTACTACTAGGAACAAAATACTCTAGACATTTTTTTTTCCAAGTCAGGATCCACTAGATCAGGCCTTTCCTTGGCAGCCAATAAAATATTTTATTTTCCCTGGGAAAAACAATGTTTTTAGCTTTAGCGCCACCAGAATGTGTTTGTGTTGTTTTTCCTGATAGCTGTAAAAACTTGTCCGCTTCCTTATTGTGCATTCAGGAACTGCTGTATTCTGTGACCTCTGCCCAGGCTTCCTCCCTAAGGTGGTCGTCAGTGTTGACTTTCATATCTTTCTAAAGGAAGTTATGATCAGGGACTAGCTTGCTGACCGAGACTTCCAGGACTCCTCTTTGGTGATGTATGGGCTCCTGAATCATTGTAGCCTACCAGAAAGAAATCTGCAGTGAAAATGATTCCTAGCAATCTGCCCCAAACTAGTAGTGTCCAAAAGGGCTATACAAAGAAATGGAAGGCATGAGAAAACTGATGGGTGTGTACATTAAAAGGACGGGAAGCAGATCATACAGATAGATGCAAGG